TCTCTTTGTAAAAGGGGGAATGGAGAGGGAAAAAAAATTGTTTCAGAAAATTACAGTGCACTTGTCATTAGATTCTAAGTTTGTCCATACATTAAGATCTTTTGTGGAGAAGCCAGTGGGAGTGTGCGGGGTTCTGTCACACCGAACCTAATAGGATCTCTCCAGAGGATTCTTCAGTCACCTTGTCAACCAACAATGATGTTTCTCTTTCAATATGATGAAGATCAGGGATCCAAACTTACCGGAAAAGCTAAATAGGCACCATTTGTCCCCACTGGAATGGCAGGTTTTGCAGCAATTGTTGTATATGGACTATACAAATTGAAGAGCCGGAGAAATACTAAAATGTCCGTCCACCTGATCCACATGTGTGTGGCAGCTCAAGGCTTTGTTTTGGGAGCAATGACTTTTGGTATGGGCTACTCCATGTATCGGGAATTCTGGGCAAAACCTAAACATTAGAAGAGGAGATGCCTTCTTGGTCTCGTCAGATGTGCTTGCTTGAATTACACATCTCATATTGAGGTTATATGCTTGTGTCAAAACCAAATCATTTGATGGGTTTGGATAATTTATTTTGAATACCAGCTTCCTATCTCAGACTTGATTTGCCTGTTGACCAAAATGATTAATGACTAGTTCTCTAGCTAGATCACTAAGGAAAGTCAGGTTAACACAAAAGAAACCTGTCACCCAAATGTACTCTGTAGTGTTAAAATCTCCACCTTTTTTTTGGGGGGGGGGGAAACTAGTTCTAAAGAAGAGTACAGAAGAACCTTGAAGTCCGCCCGGTTTGCTGCAGAGTACTTATCTATTGAATATTTTATAGTTTTATCAACTGTACTAGGGAGAAATGTTCACCTGTTGAAATATCCATTTTATAAGCCAAATAATAATGTGATTGAATGTATAATCGACCCACAGTCGGCTACATGGGAGTTCAGCAACATAGCCATTACGCTAATTGCTGGTCCCAAAATCTCCACCTTCTTAAACCCTTTTGATGAAACTAGTTCTAAAGATTAGAAACTAACCTTGAAGTACTCCCACTTTGCTGCAGAATACCTCCTGCTTTGGGTGTTATCTAGGAGTCTTGTTTATCCAGTTAATTTAGCATTTTTTCATGTGCTTTGTGGATTGGTTGAGTATTTCAGGTTTTAGGGCTGGTTGCTCTTGGAGAACTGTTTTGAAAAAGTACATGGATTATAACTTGTAAAGACTTTTTTTAACTGACATGTACATGTGTTTAAACCAAACACACTAGAAAGCTTGCGATGGGGCTGCAGAGTAGTATTTTTTTCATAATCACACTTGTAAACATGAGAATAAGTTAATTCTAGATTCCAGTTTAGCTCTTTTGTAATTGCAGAATAGTATTTTTGCCAGTGTTAGATTAGAATAATTTTTAAATGTCATCTTGGACTAGAAATATGTATTTTAAGTATTAACACAAAGCTAAATGGAGAACACTTTTTAAATGTGTGCAGTATATTTATTTTCTCTGTAAAACTAAACAGATTACCAATAATGAAAGTGATTAATGATTTATAAGCAAGCTGGTTGGTCTAACATTATATACAAACTTTGATATACCAAGGATGCTTTATTGGACTTGTGAAATTCTCTTGTCTAATCTGAATTTACATTCCATGGTGATAACATGGTATTAAAGTTAGTGAACATAAAAAAAATCTTTTGTGAATCAATAAAATGTGTAATTAGTATGGAAGGGAGGAAAGGGAAAGGGAAAAACAGGTGAAAGTATTCTTAACTGACAAAAAATGAGAAGCCTTTTGTGAATCAATAAAATGCATAAAAAAATGTATAGAAGGGAGGAAAGGGAAAGGGAAAAAATGGGTAAAAGTATTCTTAACTGACAAAAAATGAGAAGCTATTTGCTGATGATAATGTATATATTAATATCCTTGCCTTGCCTGACATGCATGGCATTTGTGCTTGAAAGATAAATGTATAGTATAAAGACGTGACAAAATTCAATTAAAATAAATAATTTTTTTTAAAAAAAGGCTATAGGAGAAAAACAAAAACAAAAAAACTGAGAGCTGTTTCTTTTTCCCCAGGAACACAGTAGAAATACCACACGAGGACACAGCAGAAACACAGTTATCTGCAACCCAGAAAGAAAACCTTTGCCATAATAACCCTGTCAGCACCTTGGGCCAACAGGTGGCATGGCAAAGGTGCTAGATTCCACGTGGCCACCTCTGTGGTTCAAGTCCTGGACCCAGCAGCCTGAAAAACATACCAAGTGTCTGTACGTGAATGCCCAGAATCCCAGGAGGGTAATGGAGAAGGACCTGTGGCATGGGTATCTCTCGTAGGGGGTAATATCTCACTTTCCTTCTCTTTCTCCACCATGTTATGTTGCAAGGATGATGTTCTAAGCTTACCAATATTCAAACACACTTACTTAAAACAAAAAAATAATAATAAAAACTTTTTTAGTGCTTTGTGTGAAAAGACGAAATAACTGTCGAGGATGCAATTTCTGACAACTAGAAGCTCTACACTGTAATTGCAGTATGCAGTATTTCTGAAGTGAGCAAGTCATGAAAAGTAACATGTGGACATCCCCTTGGGGATGATTTTTCACTTTCCCTCTGTCTCTGTTTCTCTCTGGTGAGCACACAACCCTATGGCAAAAACCTTAAAAAAAAAATTAATGTGTGACAGTCAGGATGCCATCTCCTTTAAGAAACAGAAACTCACAACTTCTGTTATTTCAAACAAACCAACAAACAAACCAGCCCTGTATTCTGAAGTAGAAAATTCACTTTTTCAAAGGCTTTCATTTTCTTTGTGGTGCTTTCATTTTCTTTGTGGTAACTTTCTCAGACAAGACAGATTCCTAGTATGTCACTGGACAAAGCTGAGTCACACGTTCAGCCTAAAAAGAGCACTCAAGGATTGATTTTACCTAATAATGAAAATCTCAACCAAGATAAATCTTTGAGTAACTCTGAGTACAACTTGGTGACAAAACCAAATCAAGACTTTTTTAAAAGTGAAAGATGGCTCTTATGAAACCAAACAATGCTTTCATCACCTTGTACCAACTTAAGTAATTGTGTCATAACCATCACTATATTTATAGATTATATATCATTTAACAATCACCAGCTAATATCCAAAGTACTTTAGTTATCTAATTTACTACTCACACTAATTCCTTTAGGAAAGTTCTATTAGCTCCCTTTCTGAATATGAAACAAAAACAAACAAAATCCAGAGGTTCATAAAACTCAAAAGCAGAACCAAGGTTCACCATGTTGCCTCATTAGCAGTACTCCATTGGTGGAAATACCAATGTAGACATTTCTTAGGTAATACAGGACTTACTAGATGTACTCAAACAAATATAATAACAATTCTATTTAAAGACATGGAAAACATGTCAGTGGAGTAGGAATTTATTTCTAACATCAAGTACAAAGGGAGGGTTTGGCATAGAAGATCTCTGCTCTCCCCAGTTTCTTCTCTATTTTCCTTCCAGAAATGTTTTCACAGAATAGAATGAAAAGAATGCTAACATTCACTGCTGTTTAAATTAATTTAGTCTTAAGCTGTTAATAATTTAATCCTTAGCTTGTGCACTACAACATAAATATTTCTATTATACCTACAGTTAGCTATAAAACTTCAAAAAATTAGTCATAAAATATTGATAGTTCATTAATAATGGTTATACAAATTTACATACACTGTCCTTGAGTAGGAAAAATGCAGTAAAATATTTTAGATAACCAATTTACAAGATATAAATAGGCTAGAGAATCAGCTAATTTGGAAAAACCTAATGTAATTTAGACTATTTAAAAAGCTTAATTGCCTACCTACAGTTATGTGGGGTTCCAATAAGGAAATGTCTTAACACAAAAAAATGTCTTAACAGAAAAACAAAAACAAAAACACATGTATGAGGGCCAGAAGGTGGTGTAGTAGTTAAGATACTAGACTCCCAGGTGGTCAACCATAGTTCAAATCCTGAACCCAGTGCCTTGAAACTCAGGCCAGGCATATGTGCGTGCATGTCTAAAATCCTGAGAATTAAAGAGAAGACATGGTGGCATGGTGGCATGGCCATTCCCCCAGAAGGTGATTTCTTGCTGTCTCTCTGGCAAGCACACAATCCCTATGGCAAAAATTTCTTAAAGAGAAAAAGATAAAACACATATGTATAAATCTCATATACCATTAAGGGCTATGTGTACTGTAGGCTATTTGGCAGCATCCCTATGTCTATGAACTAAATGCTAGTAGCACCTTCCAACCTCCAGTTAGGAAACAAAAGCACCTCCAAAAATAGTCCAATGTCCTCTGGCAGGCAATATTATCATGCATATTGAACTACTTGTTTGCAGTCAAAATTTTTTGAAATACTTATAACAACATAATGGAACATGTCCATTTAAAAATGTATATTCACATTACCTAAGTGAGAAGTTTCCAATTTATTAAAAATTCTGATATACAAATATTGAAAGCTATGGCACATAACAGATATTTTTTATTTTGTTTTCAGTATGCAACGAGATGACAGAGCACCCTCAGTTTTGTTTTTTTTTTTTTTTCTTTTGGCTAAAGGATGCATCTCTCAATAGAGAGACAAGAGATAGAGAAGGAGGGAAAGGAGAAAGCAACCCCCATGGGGAATAGTCATGCTGCCTTCTTCTCTGTTTCTCCCTCTTTTGGGGAATGCACATACATGCCTGACACGTTTCTCAAACTGTGTGGTCAACCATGTGGGACTCAGCTATTTCAACCAGAAGATCACAGACATAGCCTGAGAAACCATGTGGGAATGCTATACTATTTCTCTCTATAATATGTACTTTGACTTTTTCAATAAATTGACTTGAAGACAACACAGATCTCTCTCCTGTGTGTATGTTCTGATATGTAGCTTCTCAGAACATGTATAAATTTTTATTAGCTACAATGAGTTGTGTTTTAATGCACAAGATCACATACACAATGGCTCAGTAGAGTAGGAATTTATTTCTCACATGAAGTACACATGGAGGATTTGGCATAGAAGTGGAAGATCTCTGGTTTCCCCAATTAATTCTTTCTCCCAACTACGGCTCCCAAATTCACCATAGGTTTCATCTGAACTTCAGTTGCAGAGGACACAGAATGCAGAGGACCATATGGTCATTTTATGTTGACAGGCCTTTATGTAATGATCACCAGTCTATATTCACCCAGACAGAGGTCAGTTACATGGTCCTGCCACAACAACAGAAGGCAGAGAAATGTTGTTGAAAACTGGAGAAAAGAGAACAGGTTTTGGAAAACACTTCACTAAATGCCATAAAGGATTCCCATGTGAGTTCTCTGATGTTTCCGAAAGTGTGATTTCTGACAAAAAGTTTGCCGCAATCACTGTATTTGTAAGGTCTCTCTCCTGTGAGTTCTCTGATGTTTGCTAAGCTGTGATTTCTGACAAAAGGTTTTCCCACAGTCATTACATTCATAGGGTTTCTCTCCAGTATGAATTCTTTGATGTACAGTGAGTTTTGATTTCTTGTTGAAAGATTTTCTACATTCTTTACATTCATATGGTTTCTCACCAGTGTGAATTCTCTGATGTACAGTGAGGCCTGACTTATCACAGAAAGTTTTCTTGCATTCGTTACATTGATAGGGTTTCTCTCCGGTGTGAGTACGCTGATGCATTCTAAGGTGTGATTTCTGAGAAAAGGTTTTTCCACAGTCTTTACACTCATAGGGTTTCTCTCCTGTGTGAGTTCTTTGATGTACAGTGAGTTTTGACTTCTTGTTGAAAGACTTCCTACATTCTTTACATTCATAGGGTTTTTCTCCAGTGTGAGTTCTCTGATGTACAGTAAGGTTTGACTTCATGTTGAAAGATTTCCTACATTCTTTACATTCATATGGTTTCTCACCTGTGTGAATTCGCTGATGCACAGCAAGACTTGACTTATCTGAGAAAGTTTTTGCACATTCACTACATTCATAGGGCTTCTCCCCTGTGTGAATAGCTTGATGCATTGTGAGGTGTGATTTCTGACAAAAGGTTTTTCCACATACTTTACATTTGTAGGGTTTCTCTCCAGTGTGAGTTCTCTGATGCACAGTGAGGTTTGACTTCATGTTGAAAGATTTCCTACATTCTTTACATTCATAGGGTTTCTCACCTGTGTGAATTCTGTGATGTACAATAAGGGTTGATTTTTGGCCAAAAGTTTTTCCACATTCAAAACATTTATAGGATTTTCCGCCTGTGTGAATTCTCTGATGAACAGTTAGGTTTGACTTCTGACGAAAGGATTTCTCACATTTATTACATCTGTATGGTTTCTCCCCTGTATGTGTTCTCTCGTGTCGTATAACCTTTGATTTGCTAATGAAGGATTTCTCACATTCTTTACATTTATAGGGTTTCTCTCCTGTGTGTATTTTCTGATGTTTAGTGAATTTAGATTTTTCATAGAACATCTTGCCACACACATTACATGAAAATGTTTTCCTCTCTATCTGAGTTAACTCTTGAGCCTTGAGAGCTGACCCATCATAGGTTTTCACATATTCACTATATTTACGGGTGGTCTCTCCTATATGAAGTCTATTATGGGTCAATAATATTCCTTCTGAGTTGAAAGTTTTCCTTTGTCCAGTATATTCAAAAGGCTGCCACTCAGTTTGGGTTTTGTGATACTGACTAAGGTACTCATGATGTCTGAGAGATTTTCCAGTGACAGTACGGGTGTCAGGGTCCTTGCTAGCATGCATCTCATTGGGCTCACTAGAGAGAACCATGTTCTGACATAAACTAAACTCTTCAGGTCTCCTTCCTGCATAGTTTCCATTATTTATAATCTGATTTAAAATATGATGTGAGATCAAATTAAATGTTTTTCCTAATTCAATTCTCTTCTCAGTTGAGGTTCTGCTGTTGGTGAGAAGTTGCCACAACTGTCTACGGTGACTTTCCTGATTTCTCTCAATTAGATCACCAACTATCGGGACATCTGAAATAAATTTTAAAAAAAAAGTTACCATACAAATTAATCACAGAAAAGCATTTTTGATAGAATGCTCATGTAAATGCAAAGAACTTTTTTTTTTTTAAACAAACTAGTGGCTTAAGATTTTGTAGAAACCTACCATTAGTATTAATTGTATGATCAATGGTTTTTAATCTAAAGATATCATATAATAAATTATACTCATGAACTTTTTTTTTACTAAAAATAATCAGCATTTATTGCCAACTAGCAATAACATAAGAATAATCAAAACAATATGACCAAAGGGAACAAACTACTGTCTTTTCAACAAGTTCTCACTTCATTTATCATTTCTAGTTGGAGACACTTTGTAGCAGAGTAATATTACCTCCTTTTAACATAATCCAAACCAGTTTTTTTCTTGACTTTGTTTTAGAATGAATCGCCTCTGCATCATCTAATACAAGGTTAATACACTCATCAAAATCAATGACACAGCAGCCTCTTTCTGCATGTTCACTTGTTCATTGCTCACACCTGCATCTGGGATCTATTTTGCAAGTATTTAACAATAAAACTAATAGGCTAGACCATCACCTCTTGCATTTCTTGGCCCCGTTCACAGTAAGTCATGGTGGAAACTCACAAAGCCCACAATGACTGATGAATTTTCTAATGCTGTACTACATATTTATTTGCTTCTTTAATTTTTTTTCCTCCCTAATTCATGAAATATTTGGTAAAAACTATTTACATACATCAGAGTTTTTAAGGGTTTATCATCTTCCATTTCTTTTTCTTTTTCTTTCTTGTTTTTGTTTTGCCAGAGGGCACAAGTGCTCACTGAAGAGAGATAGAGAGAGGGAAAGTGAGAAAGCATTCCCCATGGAGTATGGTCATTTCACCATCACCTCTCCTTCATTTCTCCCTCCTTTTGAGATTGTGGCTACACATGCACACATGCCCCCAGTATGTCCCTCAAGCCACCAGATCCAGGACTTTACTGCATAGTCAGTCATGCTGAACTCAGCAGCCATGCCAATCCATACGCTGCCCCCTGTTCTTTCTCTCTGATTTTTAAAACAATGGCAAGTGTCTCATATGCTAATATTTTTCCTCATTATTCTGCCTTAAAGGTGGTAAGGATTTCTTGCATCAGCTACTTACACATGTAGCACAGGGCCATTTGTCTGTC